ACGGACTCTCACAGTTAGGCAACCTCGAAGCAGGAATGCACGTATCCAACCCAGGATGGGATCGTTGGTCCCACAGCCCTTAAGCTTGAGAAAGAGGACATTGTGATCATGATGATAAAATGCTTTCGAGAAATCGTGGTACAGGGCGTGAAATCTCTCCTCAGAATCGACATATTCCGTCTGTCTGGCACGGGTTAACAAGATCTTCGTGGTACATGAGTGGTTTCGGCGGAAACTGTGTTGCTCCGGTACGATGCTACTTCATTTTTTTCAAGTATTCTAAGATGGCTCATGTAGTAGAGGATTACGTGACCTTGGAAAGAACTGGGAGGAGAGTTATCCGTCTGTGGTTGGCCGGTTCAGCGTGGTCCTAAATTACAAAGCTTGCGCAAACACGTATATATATGTAAAGCAACTGGGTGACTTCCAGCTTGCTGTTCTCAGAATGGCACAAAAAAGCACCCGTACACGCCACTCAGCGGAGATCAACAGCAGAATACTGAAGACTTATGAAGAGGGAAGCAATTGGGAGCAACTTGCATGTATACTAAGCGTCAACCCGAAGACCGGCTGCATTTGTTTACGAAGAATGGAATCAATCGAACAAAGTGCGAATCATGGTGGGGTGATAAAGATTTCTGGCAGAAAGCCACATTGTTTGCCTGGTAGAATAAGTATCGTCAGAACCCACGGTTACTCTCCAAACATTCCACCAGCGGTTGAAAGCCGTGTTGATGCTTGAGGTGAGGGTTAACACCACAGCGCGAGACTTGGACGGGAGTCTGAGAACAATGAAGAAAGTGCACACAGTTACGGAATTCGCGAATGCATACAAGAAAAAGGCGACGAAAATCTCATTTTTACAAAAGTGTGGTCGGGGGAGTAAAGGTAGGAATTCATGACAACTAGCCTCAACCAGACAACCATCTCACGCCCAGAAAAGCACTGTACGGCAGTTGCATCTGTTCGGGAATCGTACCTCAGTGGTCTTAACCAAGGACTGGCAACAGTCGAGTTGCGGTTTCGAGCACTACAAGGGTCAGATGGAATGGCCACTGCTGACGCTTTCAGTCAATCCTATGCCTAGGTACTGTTGTAGTCGGAGGTCGAAGCGAGACGAGTGGTATTGATTGATGAAATAAATTGCGATCTCTTTTGCGCTCGTACCAGAGGCCGTTCACTGCGGGCAAGTCGTGCGCTTTGTGAAGTGCCCAACACTCAAGGACGGAACGTTCATCGTATAGGAGCCCTGAGACCGAAGTTTTGGTAAAGTATAGTATCATGAGATGAAGTTACAACAAAGAAAGGTGTGCGCAGTGGTAGCGGGGACTGGTATGTGCCAGGGGTTCGACTTTTGTCGAAAACTGCCTCTTGATCTACGATAACGTGCCATGCCACACGAATCTGGAACGCGTGTGCAAGGAGCAATCGTACCGTTCGGGCAGCCTTCTGCGCGTTCTTCCATATTTCCTATCACTCAACACAATTTAGAGCATCATAAAAGTATATGTGAAGCAAGCTATGAGGCAGAGATATTCCGAGATGCTTCAGAGCGATCTTAAGGATGTGCTTTACAAGAGCGAGTGGATAATGTGTTTCATGGACCGAATTGTGTCAGAGACACGAGCCTGCCTGACGTCTCAGCACTGCCAGCACATAATAGATCATGTGAGGAGTTACGCTCGCGCAATGCATTGTACTGATTTGTAAATTGTTCCCATTTTGTTGATATAAATGTAGAATTTGAAGTGGTGTTATCAATACTATGCATTGCAAACCCATTGATTCGACATGCAGGTATGCACGATGGTGTTCAGGCTAGGTGCTGTCGCAGAGACTTCTCGCATGTTTCCGCGTTAGTTGTTGCGAGACAACCCGAGGGTATCCGGATGACTCCTGGCAATCAGGAATACATTGCTGCTAATGATGAGAGATCATGTGTTGTTACGTACTGTTATATCGCGAATTGATGGTACGTATTTAGTATCACGAAGAGGACTACCGTGCACAGAAAAGGAAGAATCACTCTGTCGCTCGTTAGGTTAAGCATTATTACGGAAACCTTAAGTGACATAGTGCCGTAAGTTACATATCGTCGCGTGAGGACCGACGCTATGAGGTACGCCAAGACAGCGCGTCGGATGTAAGTCACTGATCCATCTCGGGACGCGAAATAGACGGTTGCCGCCTATTGTCATGCATTTCAGAGGGCTGTGCGGTCAACTACGTTTGCTTCAGTGCCTAACTTGTGCCAATGTATGCGGTGCATCATGAATCGTCCGCTAATTGCTAGCGGGGTAGCGTTCAGAGTATACGAACCAATCCAGCGACGAAAGTAGACGTCATCGCGATCGCCTACACATTAACCACCCGCTCCACCGCTCCAATGCAACACCGTGTGGCAAGTGCACTACTTCACCTTTACTATGAGCTGGATGGTATGGGGCAATGCTTTCGGCTTACGATGCACAGATCTTTCACCACATACAAGACCCAGAATAAAAATGTAGCAGTCATAAAACGGCATTGACCCTCTCAGCAGATTGCCGCTCATGATGATTTTTCCTTACCCAAAGGACTAACAGCCAACCCAGAACTCAGTGGAAAGTTGCACAGGCCACTTACATCGCTTTGTTCACAAGCACGCCATACAATTTGGTCACCCCAGACCCCGATCATTCGTAGTCATACACCTGTGACTGTCTTGATATTCGGACACGCCGAACACTGGTACATCGTCCTAGAGGTGTCATCCCACGACCTTGGTTTTCTGATGTTCTTAGTTGGAAGTATAAAATGGATTTCATGTATAAAATTATATTCTCGAATTTCCCGCTTCGCGCTGAAGATGCCAATTATGGCGACCGATTAGTTGCAACTAACGGGAAGTATACCTTTTACCATGTAAATATCTCTGCTAAATCACCATGTCACACTCCATTTTATTGGTACGTTCATTATTTAATCTTTCTCCCTTCATTACGGCCACCCTACAAGACATGTCAAACGTTATCTACTTGACCCCTTATTATATACCTTTGTACTGCCATCTGCGATTGTGAACTAAGTGTGCACAGGCCGTTAGGTAGGAAATTGTGTGCTATCGACCTCGCGGAATTGTGGGCTTTGCAGGTACAGCTACCGTAGGAAGAAACTGAGGTGTTGCTCGCATATATGCTGTGTCGGCCAAGTACCTTTGCTGGAGAAGAGGCGGTGAAATGGACAGACGAAGATGCCGAGCAACGATGGAGTGACTCCCATTTGTGAACATACCACTAAACTGGGTACGGGATACGAATTCAGTTGATGCGCGTCACTTGCGTGTCAGTTGCCCTTACGTTCGGTCCGCACCAGTCCGCCCATGCATGTGCGTACAGATCAGTCGATGCAAAATTCCGACAGCCCGGTCGCAGTATCTCATTTGATTCAGGAACCATCAAGTCGGTGTACTGCATCCACCATGAGGGTAAGCGATGCCTGCTGTAACAAAGCAGGGCTCACTCGCCTTGTAGCAAAATGGCCACATTCGTATTTCGGCATTAGGCCTCTCAGTAGGCCTCCGCTTAAGACAACTCTCTATAACCCAACGCGACCACCTTCCAACCTGTATTTCGGTTGCGCAGGCCCGTTTTGTCGATCTACTCGCAAGCCCGTCACACCGCCCCCGTCATACGCAGTCATTCAGCTGTGGCTGCCTCGCTAGGCGGACGCAGTACCGTCGCATGCCCTAGCGTTGGTAGGTCGTCCAAAACCTTTGGCTGCGCCAGCGCAAAAGTAGCCATAAGATCGCTAATGGGATGTCAGATTATCATGTTCGCAGCCACCCACTGGTGCCGTTCGCATGGCGTACCTTTACGTACCTCGTAGTCCAATTACACCCAGTCGCATCACGTGTTTGAACAACCTTGTGCCCCTAAGCTGCGTAGAACTAGCTTCAGATTAGGCACCGTTGCTGAATGCAGGCTAGGCCGCCCACGCGTCAACACCACACACCACCAACTCGTACATTCATGCAAGGGTTATTAAGTTGGTCGTCATTTGCTGCTTTGGGCTAGCTCAATGCCTATGTTAATGCGCGTTTGGTGCGTAGAAATGATACCGGATGCAATTCAATTGCACTAATGAGCATGTTCAATCGGCTTAAAGATGCCAATCAAAGCGTTAGGGAGAAATTCAGTTTCACCATGCATGCAATCGATCGGGATATTTGTAGACCCGTCCACGCGACATTTCTTAGTTGTTCTGCCATTTCGCGAAGGATTCACCGTGCTCACTTTCTTGATCTGGCGTACCGCCAGGTAACGAAGCCGGGCTTTTTAAATTGCATGCTTAAGTTATGCCGAGATCATCGGTTTATGGGACTGTTTAATATCACACATGAATTCATTGATGATGGAATGTAGACATCGAAATCTAAGATGCTTGACGAGGGAGGGGGATTGTTCGACAGGCTACGTTGGCAAGTAAGATGGTGAAGTGGATGCGAGAGCGGTTACCAGCACATGAATACACCAACTAGGCGAATGTCAAACAGGTGTATGCATGTATGGGAGTAAGTTAATGAGCAGTAAAATAAATGTAAACCAAGTACAGACTAATTATAAGAAGAGTGAACTTGAGATATTAGCCACCGTTTAAACGGTCACAGTTTGGGCCCATGGGCCGCTGTTGATGACACAAAGCAAAGTGATCGCCTGATGGGCAAGTCACGTTACCTCATAAATACCTAGTGGAACATATCGGATGCCGTTATCCGCATTGACCTGCGGGCACAAGTTTCTGCTTAGAAAACAGTGCGTCTATATTTATCACTTTACCTAGACAAAGGGATTGATTGTGCAGTAATAGAGAGTACTGAAAGCTCCGAACAACTATCCGTACTTCATAGGACGTACCAATATCCAGTAGTGGTGAGTATCCGTTAAAATGTCACGATGAAATTTTGTGCAACGGCTGTAAGATGTCTGTATTGTAACAGGAAATTCTTGCTCTTCTGACAGAATGTTCTTCGAACTGGATCTGAGAAAATTTGTGCTGGATCAGTGTAAATTGAACATGCACAGATGTGGTGCCAATAAAAAGGTGAGTGACATGGAAAAGCTATAAATGATACCCAACAAGTACAAGTATTATAATCTTGATTAAGGTAAATTCGTATTTCTTACTATACATTCCAAACACTATGACTATGATTCACGTACTTAGAGCTGATCAACAGAAAAAACGAATAGACCACTCATAGCGTTTTACTTTTGGCCTTATTTCCATAGCCATGCATCCACAATTTAATATATGGTTCGTCATTGGGACGACTTGAAGTGAGGTTGTCATCTCAAGATCCCCATGTTTCTCTTCACAATGCTGCACAATACCACCGCTATATTCATGCAGGAGGTCAACTAGCTGCTATGCTTACTGTGTAGGCAATCATGTTGAACTATTCCGGATAACTCAAACGTTGGCTGCCCACGAGCTTTGGTTGGAGCACCAGCCGCCGTGATCCATCAGCCGATCAGTTTCTGGGTCACAACTCCCGGGTATCGTGCACGGGAATTGCTACTACACATAAGGGGCGCATCTAGCCGCTAGGCATAACACCAGGACCGTGACACGTGGACGACCTTTGCTAGTTTAGAACCACGGCTGTCAGGCTTGTCAGCACGTGTCACAGGTAGGCAAAACTAAAACGTAACGCACACTTCCGAGACACGTAATCCCAGCAAGCAGAACACGTCTGAACAGCAGGAGATTTATCAATCAATTCAAGAGGTACAAGATTCACGGAAACGCGCTGCGAAACCGGAGGTGTGTGTCAGATGATTGGCTGGCTGGTGTAAGTGTCAACCAATCCGCGCACGGCTGAAGTAAACGGATGGAAGTCATTCGCGTACGTGACGCAAAATGTGTATAAATGCCGAGAAACAACACGGATGCAGATGGAGTTTGCCCCTCCCCCACCGACGATGCTATCTGGATATTGAAAGTTCCCATTGTAGCATTTGTACTGGCCCAAAACGTTGAGGTGGGAACCAGTGAACACGATAATGCTCCTTAATGGTAGAAATAGTTTATCTTTTGCCTAAACGAGATCCTGTGTGTTACTCTATTCAGGTTAGGAACGCTCTCTTATCCCACAGAATTCCGACAAAATGTTTCAATAAAAACCACTGCCGAGACAGTGTCAGCACTGTTAGATGATGACCGCATTCGTCAGTCCAACTGGAACAACAGAGTCAAGTGTTAAATTGATAGGCTACAGCCACCTCAACCAATCCGTAGGGAGTAGCGGCTTCATCCGACACCACTGAATTCTGCAGAAGGAACTGGGAGCATTATTGATATTTTCGATTCGATTCAGTTCGTGGTGAAAGTAATGGTTTGTCCTGAACTTACTTTCTTTCTCTCAGGCGTTAGGTTACTTCAGACTCCTTGAAGTGTGCTTCGTCTCTTTAACAACAAATTGGAAACTCGTATGGTAACAACGTGTTAATTACACCCTATTGCAACCACGGTTGCGATCACGGTGTCAACCAAGATACTTAATTCTTGTGCCTCGAAGTTAGACTGCCGCGGGTTATGGCAATTCTTTGCGTAAGAGAATACACAATATCGTTGATTGTCGATAGAATGAAACTACTTTTAGCGCTTTCGGAATGCGCACCGGGTTTTTGACTGATCCTGAATCTTCAACATTCATTAGCAGTGCCAATATGTTAGCAACATATGCAGCTATTTACAAAACAATATATGGCACATATGCCGGTGAGTCAGTAAGGCGAAAACAGTGTGAAGGGGCAAAATCCTCTCTGTTAGGAAATTGCTGCGTTGGTGAACCGATCCGAAGCGTTCCACTTTAAACAACTGTTCGCAGGATTTTGGCAAATGTATTGTCTAAGCAAGGAATCCCTACATTTGCCAGTACATGACATTCATTCGCATCCTGCGCTGGTTCAGTGTGAAGTCATCCATCCTATCCCGGTAGTACCATTCCCCTTGCCTATCTCCTCCTTCTGTCTCATAAGAAGCAAAAGCATACCACGAGGGTAATGCAGCGAAATGCTGATGAAGTAATTTGTCCACTGTGAACTTAGAATGACTATATTCGTTCCGACTGCCAACCAACGGGCGGGCCACGGAGCCTCAAGGAACAGCTCATCTACCTGGACACCGAACTGACTAAAACATTCCTAAGTAAGATGACTGGTCATAATACACGAGCACTCCGTTAGGACCCAAGTACATATGGCTCAGTTTGATGAAGTACGGGATGAGGTTGAACCCTTTGAGAAACACCCACCAAAGCATGCATTCCTCAAACAACAGCATCACCTCAGTCAGCTCGCTCCTCAATGCCCACGATAAATGTGAGCAGAAGAATAATGCGACCCCAATTTGGTAGACCCTGATCATGCTTCTACCGTGGCGTGCGAAACTGACAACAGCCGCGCTAATTGCAACACCGATTGCCATGACCATACCTTAATCACCTCGCTAATTAAAAATTTACATATACGACCGCCTGGGCAGTAGCCTGCAATACCGACTACTTTGGAGTGCCAAGTTTGTCACCCACCAAGGAGCACGCTGTTAGGGTGTCCTTTCCAACTTCTTCACTGAAGAAGGATATTTACTAAGGCTACTTAAGCACACGTATTCAATGTGGCGTTAACATCTCATGCTAGGCTTGGTTGCGGACGACAATCCTCAGTGGGTGGATTTTGCGAAATTGTTCCTAACCTGGGTGGATTTGAGCTGCTGATTATGCAGGCCTTCAACCAGTCTTGATCCATGCGTCTGTACCATACGTCGATGCTGCGGGGGTTGCGCACTGGCCGCGACCTGATGTGTGGTGCGTTCCATCGCAAGCTCGAACCCTTCCTTTGATTCAATACGAACGCTTCTTCGTTTCTCTCCATTTCCTCATTCGTACAGTACTTGTATGGATGAGTTTTAAGGTGGTTGTATTGATGTTTTTGTCTCGTTCAGTAATGAAACGCTTGCAAACAACCACACAGCTCGGTGAACAGTCCGACACATGAGTTAAGACGTGGTGCGGGTGTTCAGGCAACACCTTTCGGTGTCAAAACACCGTTTGTAGCTGCTTTATCTGCTATCGCAGTCTTCCTCCTAAATCAAGAGGGGTGTGTATCACTGTCTCGTATATTCTGAGAAACAGCACTGCAATCAAATGCGCAGCTTGATTAATGTCTTGTGTCGGAGCCCCGCGACTCCTAGCGCCCACGAACGGTGGTGAGAACACGAATGACTGGAAACAGATTCAATGTTGTACCACGAATGTTGTACCATGAATCATGCAGATATCCACTAATGGATTCGTTCCAACCGGCCAGCATCCATGCCACATATCGGTAACGATCGGGCTTTCGGTTGTTGTCAGGCATTGTTATCTCAACTAACCACTCTTCCAGACAGTTTGAGAGTTCGGGAATGAATGACGATCTTAAGTTAACTCAAGTATCACACGTTTGGTCCCGTTGGTCAGTGTTCAGGCGTTGTAACCGTGGGGAACTATACCGCGCGTGCACCTTACTCACTAGTGATTTGGAATAGTTGAGAATAGCTGTAGCTAGAATGTGGATTTTGCCTTGTTCTCAGTGCTGAACCCTCAGTTTGCGCACGTGTCGTCGCCAGACTAGACAACTTCCTCAGTGCGGCCTGAAGGGCCTGGTTCGCAGAGCTCCATAAGCAACTTTGGGGTCTAAGTGCAGATTGATCAAGTTCCGTTCTGATTGTCAGATTTCAATGAACTCACTTCCTTGCCGGCTTTTTGACATGGAGAAAAATTTGGCGTATTGTATGTTGATCTGGTGGTTCTCAGTATCCAGATGGATGGATATCAAGGAATTTTGATCGTGGCAACGAATGGCTAAGCTATGTTCTTGTAGCCTTGAGCCCAGCTTTCCTCCTGCTTATCCAACGTAGTATGTGTCACCATCTCTGCAGCAGATCATGTAGAGTACACCAAGTGTTTCTTCCTTGCTAAGTTTATCTCTCACATAGAAGCGTTTACTACGAATCGTCTCCGTGGGCTGGTGCACAATCTTTACTCCAAAAGGCAATAAAATTCTCACCGCCATTTCAGATGCAAACCTACTTCATTTTCGTCTCCAGGTAGCTAGGAGGTTCTCTTTCTATTTTCCCTAAAATAGCTGAATATCGTTTACCGAATAGCAACCGTAATTGCGCAGCATTGTCATTTATCACTTTTCTAGTGTGAATATAGACGCTACAGTGATTGGGCTTTTGCAATGGACAACTACATTTGTGTCTGTACAGGCTCCTTTTACGTGGATAACGAAGAAAATGTGAGTTTTTTTTGCTACCCTCCAACATCGTCATTTCTATGTGTGTCATTATTTCCTATGTATTCATGCGAAACTCTGGTCGATCAAGATTCAATCTATCCGTTTCCAGCAAAATGGTTGTCTCCATGATTGTTGGGCTGATCCGTCAACATAACATTAATGTTTGGACGTACTTTAAAAGTAACACTTCCGTGGGGATCCAATGCACCCGTCTGCAATATGTTCAGACCAAGCTATTGACTGTACAACCTGAGCCAAGCAATGTGTCCACGTCGATGCATGCAGATATGTCTTTTATTGAAGGAGCAGCCATGTGTGCCTGCGGCCACACGACCGTAACACCTTTGTGCAATAGACAAATACCAGATTTGACACAATCAAGATATCATTAGTCCTCAACAAGCAGTGACGAAGAAAACTAATATACATTTGTTGGTATCAGCAAGCGTTCGCTTCTCAGGCACTACACGTTCAGTCCATTACCTGTGAACTCAAGTCCAATGATCATATTACATGTTTGGATAAACGTATCATCCGAATAAATGCCTGTTACCTTGGCCGATCCGTCTGAAGGGTTCCAATATGTCCCGGTCAATACCTGCATTTCCTACCAAAAAAGTATGCGCGCAAGTGCTAGGAAATACTTTAGTTACTCATGCTAAAGGTATTAGGTTGGGCGACGGTCAGCTCAAGTAGTTTCACTTATCAGAAGGAAGCTTATGGCTAGCGGCTGCCCAAAACATTTCATACAGAAGCACGGCCAGTTCAAGTAACCGGAAAAGATGGGGTTGACAACAACAATCAGAATCTACAAGGCGAATTTCCACGTAAATGTAGTGTAACCGAAATAAGGAAAACCAAATGTCTAGTCTCTATCATTCAGAGGGCCTACCATGTCATGGATATGCGCTGGCGCCAATAGCACCTGTACACTGTGGTTAACTTCGATAAAGTGAGTAGAACTCCTCGCCGTCTAAGTCCACAGCTGCTATCAATTTGTGATGGAATGCGGAGTCAGTAACCACCGACAGGGTCGGCAACTTCAGATTCAAAGAACGCTTACCCAACCTGCATCAAAGGGAGATTACTTAGCACCCCTCCAATGCTCCCAGCCCCTAAACAGCTTTGCTGACTCACCAGCTAGTTAATCCCATTTAGTCCTTCCGTATCCCATTGCATCACACCGGTTGCTGCTCTCATGGCTTGCTGTGGCCATCAAGATAAATCAACTTAGAAGAGTACTGTATGCACATGAGTAATCAGTTGTCCACCTTCGATTGTTGTGGTCCAAAGGGAATCACTCTGTCCATCACTTAACTCTGCCGCGTTTGGTTACACCGTCCGACGCCTTTAAAAAGGACTCCTTATCATTGTGGCACCGCTGACGAAACAGCGTGAGCTGTGTACCTTTACCACCGTCCACGTTATCACGGTGCCACTCAGACTATTAAGGGAAAATGAGGCATTAGAGCTCGGTATTCTGGTTGCTGTTAGTGCCGTACACTCTGTCACTGAGTCCAAGGGTAGCTCGTCATACAGCTCGGCCATTACGCTAAGCGCCAATCCACTTGCAAGTACGGTCATATTAGCACAGGCACGCTGACGGTTGACTGGTGTGACTAGTTCGCTTCAAATCCTTGTTGCACTAAGCTGAAGCAGAACATAGGAAGATCCGGAATCCCACGTTGTCTGTCACCAACCCCCAAGACGTTTCATCATATGAACGGATCAGGAAATGTAGGTAACTGATGTGGTGTTACTATCTTCAGTGAGGCAAGCGGTATTTTGCACACGAAGACAACAGAAACAGTCAGGTAACTTGTCTTGGTCTTGTTTGCGCGAAGCATATTCAACCAGTTTAAGGTTTCGCCGGTTACCTAAATACGTACACATCTCTCACGATTTTGCTTTGCGTGATAAAAGCAGGCAAGACGACCATTGTAACCTACCATTTGGGCCCGCTTTGTGCATGTGTTTAAATGGAATTCACTATGTCAAATTATATGGATTACTCACGCCAAACCCGTTTTTCTCTACTTTCACCTGGTCCGTTTTGCGGTCATTCGGCCTGCTACGGACATCCTTGGCACATTGTTTGGTTTGCGTCTAACAGAAGGTCCTGCTAGTTCATTATCGTCAATCCCAATCAGCAGGCTTAGGCTAGTATGGTAAAGCACCAGACGCCGATGTTTCTACCTTCCGAGTCTCCTCAGGGGTGCGCCTCCCAGCGGACCCCTGCCGGGTTCCGCCCTAATGACTTCCGGATGCCAGCAACTAGTGCCACTTCGCCATGGCTGACAGCCGCAGACCTACATGATTGACAGTTGACTATGATATAGCCCGGCTCGTCTTCCATTGCCACGCAAGTTACGAACTGTGCAGCGGACAGTGGCTTCACGAGCTAGGAGTTGCTGCATAGCACCTATGTAGGACCTAAGACTTAGAAGCTATACGGACAGATTTTATGTTACTAATGAGTAACAGTGCGGATTCTGGTATAACAGCTAATTCCTCATCGTCACTCATAGGCAGCAGGCTTAGGCAAGTCTGGGAAAGCGCCAGACGCCGGCGTTTCGACATTCTGGGTCTCGTCAGTGGTGCGCATTCCGGCGGACTGCTGCCAGGTTCCGCCCTCATGAGCCTTGCTATATCATAGTAAACTGTCAGTCACACAGGTCCGCGACTGTCACCCATGGCGAAGTGGCACTAGCCGCTGGCATCTGGAAGTCATGGTGGCGGAACCCATCAGGGGTCCGCTGGGAGGCGCACCCCTGACGAGACCCAGAAGGTCGAGACGCCGGCCTCTGGTGCTTTTCCAGGCTAGCCTAAGCCTGCTGCTTGGGAGTGACGATGATGAATTAGCAGAATTATACCCAAATCCTCACTACTACTCATCAGTTTTACTTAAGCGTTTGCGTTTTCTTAGTCAAACTTACGTATGCTTGATAATGTTTACTAACCAACTATCCAGTATTAATAAAGTGTGCCACAATTTGAACTCAAAGGCGCACACACTCGTCTTTGGGTAACGCAGAAATTTACTACCTGCTCTCATTAGTAACAAGTGGTATTTGTTCGTCGTGTTCTCCATAGCTCTTGGGAATAAGTCCGAGTGACTTGTTAACCTTTCGATTTCCTCCACCAGGGTTTTCCAGCTCCCCTGATGCTGGCCAAACTCCAAACCCCAACAGCAGACTACATTTCCCCCCGATTTCACTGCAGGCCGTGTCCGCCTGGCTGCGGCCGCTGCGGCTCGGATTCCGTCTGCCAAGTTCAGTTGGACTTCAATTTATTGCGAGCAATTTCACTGGGCCTCCAAAGCTTTTGTATTACCATCTGCTTAATACTCGGCGTCGCCTTACTGCGACTGCGTCGAACGAGGGTAAGTTGGCGAATGTATGATAAGATTAGCTCCAATAAAATTTCAATGGCGATGATAGTGGATGGTCAGTTGGGCCATTTGCTGCCAAACTCTCCGAATATGTCCGTAGGAGTACTGTCCCTGCTTACTTTTACGAAACTCAATGCAGTTAACAACAGCACTACTGGCATCCGCCCATCAAATTGAATATACAGACCTAGTGTATTTTGGCACCCCCTACTGATTACAAAGTACCACATGTTACTTATTCCACCTGTTACTGCGTGGATAAAACAAAGCGAATTCTCAGTGTTGTCAAGAATACTTGAAGTCCGGGAGAAGGATAGGAGTAATAGATTTTGCTCGGAGCTGACTGGTTTGATTGCAGATATCGCATGACCGGAATAAGTAAAGTTAATGTAATTTCCAGGGAAATTACATTGGTGATGGTACCAAACCTGATGACGAAACGTCTGCAAATAAACCAATCAATTGGAGCACGTCCCACCTACCTGGTTCATTTCTACTATTGCGTTTCGAAACGACTAGGTTGTGCGCCCCACTGTGGCACCCCATCTCACTTCGGACTGTGATTGCTTTGTTAAAGACGGACAGCTAAACCACCAGAACCATAGCAGCGAACTCACTGATGCAAGTTCTGAGCGGGATGAGTGAGGAACAACAAATCTATAAGTTACACAAACCAATGCGAGACTGATAACGACAACCCCGAAAGAAGAACACTGATATGAGTTTGAACGACGCAGAGCACCAAAAGTTGTCCTTATGAGGAATAAGGTAGTAAACGGTAGACAAATTCAAGCTTTTGCTGGCTGCCAACACCGTATTCCACGACCGTGTTCGTCCGTCGCTGAAGGACACTTTGAATAGTTAACCGGAGCCGGAGCTCGAACCCATTATGTAGGGATTATCGGCAAACGCCTTCACTTCCATGCCTCCTAGTACCACGAACGGGGCTTTTTACAACACTTCGAAATTTAGTGGTGGCTTTTTTGGACCACCTGTTGTGTACAAACGTGTATGGTTGTATGCAAATAGGAAAGCGACACATGATCTCTTACCATCATATACTTCTACTTTAACCCGGATTGCTTCGATCACTGCGAAAGTGCCTAATGTAGCCAAACCGTGGCCTTGGTGATATCATGGCGAAGGTGTCCATCAGCAGTCGAAAGGTATCCATGCTATAGTCCAGGGATGGGTTACCTCTAACAGAATGATTCCGACAAATCATGTCGTCCTTAGAGCGATCAACACCAGAGTCTAGATGGTAACTTATAGGTGTTCAACTAGTGACTGGGAATGATTTCACTGTCGTTGGTTCAGGTTGTCAGTCGATACTTCTACACTTTAGCAACCGGTGTTGACAAGAAGTTAGTTTTGGCACTGGAATTCACGAGAAGAAGTAAAAACACAAGTTGAATACATACTGTCAAACGAAAGATGAAGCCATTTAGAACGACCACAAGAGAACTGAGCTAAGAAGCTTGGATCTGAAAGTCGAAGGTCGCTACCGTGGATTACTATCCTTTGTTTTTCATCGATTGTTCAAGGTTTGATCAGTAAGGCCGCATCAGTACTAAACACGTGAGTCGAAGTGAGGATACCAATAAATGTTTTATTCATTCGTGAACCTCCTGACGACTAAACACGGATGATAATTTTCGTTGTTTCATTTTACACAGGTAATCAAGGCCGCAAATTGGGTGCTGATGGAGATCCTTTTGATCGGCGCCGTGCTGTTGTACCTTATAGTGAGTTTGCTTTGTAAATCTGTGTCCATAAGTCGGTTCATGAGTTTAGCATGACCGATCAGCTACACTAAACGGAAGCAAGGTGAAAATATTACGAATGTTATTCGCTGCATGTTGTTTGAATGGAGGTGAGACGCATTTCATATTCCACCTCATTCTACTTAATACCCAGTTCCTTCAGCAAATGGACCTTCTAGAAACATCACACGCATCCGCTTGTTCATGACCGACCTTTGTTACTTGCATGAGCAGCTGGCTGTCGATTCGCTTAACTAATCTCTACACTCAGTGAATGACCGGAATACCTGAAATGTTTAGCTAATGAAGGAGGTCCAAGTGGGTATCCCGGTTATCGATTCGGTCGACCGAAGGCGCAACCCACAAACACTGCCCGACTCACGTTGCCGCAGAGGAGGCGGTATCCTGACAAGTTGCTGCTCCGCATAATATCCTTCCGTACGCCTTAAGAAGCATCACGGATAGACGTCGTTTGAAGTGCCATCTGGCTTATGCCACCGATATGGCAGCAACAAACAAGAACAAGTTGGCCCGGAGTAAAGCGCCTAAGCAGTGAGATGAAAAGTATTGTGCTAAAGAAAATGTAAAGTTTGGGCTGCTGAAGCGTCTGTAAAAGGCCAATAGCCACTGAACTTTACTTTTATGATTGAATAAACACTTAAACTACTCCGGTGCCGAAGCGAGAGCGAAATGAGGGAGCGAAGCATGTCCAACACCAGGCATTAACCACTTAACAGTACCCTCGGTAAAACGTTTCCAGACAAATTCCTCATAAACGTGAAATTGAGGTGCCCATATTGAATCCACGGAAGCGTTCGATCTTGCGGTGGAACGGGCGCACCTCACGCCGCGTTCACCGTACGCAATGTCCATTCGTCGCAGAAGTAGCTAGAGGCATGCACATTCGGCAAGTGGAATCCACACAGATTAAAAACAGCTTAGCGAAATGCAGCCGCTGGGACTTGTCCTCCACATTCCAGACGGGCATGGGAGGTGAATGCTCCGTTGAACACGAGGTATAGTGGTCGTCCACCACCCCGGGAGGCTTGGATTGTGATGAAGTTGGCACTCCACGGTAGTCTGCAAGGAAGGCTACTGACCAGACTGTGGGACAAGTGAACGTTTAACTAATGCAGTGTTTAAATTATGTACGTGGTAAGCGGTACTAAAATTGACGTGGAGGTTGGCGGGTTCGCATGCCACGTTAAGTCAAGGCCTGCCAAATTGAGTCACGATCGTTTTCGCTCTGCAATTGGTTGGATCCCATGAGAGTTGAGCCTTGATATGAGACCCGTGTTTCAGCCGAAAGAGAGTAGAAAGGATAAAACCAAACAGTTTACGACAGTGTGTTTGTGGGTATTCGTTCATTCCGCTCCCAGCTACATGTCGCTGCTGCGTGAGACCTAATGCTGTGGTCATGTGTAATAAGCTATCAGCTTGCTAGGGAACGGGTAGTTGAACTCGTTGAGAACCGTTTACTGGCCGAATTGCATCGCCCTGCTCCCGTAGCTCTTGTTATAAGGTAACGTATTCTTGTCACCATGCACCGCCCCGTTGGACACCCAGGCAACTAAGCACCCAGCACCTCACATATTTCCAGTTAGTTGGGTTGACAGGTGAATTGAAGGACATAAGTATTCAGGTACGCCAGCAAGAAGTATAGATTGCAAGCCATTTCTGCGTGTGCTCCCGTAAACATAAATAAACCTAGTGTTATCAATGAAACTCACGCTATGGTGTATGTGCGCAACCACGCACAATCGCTGGTCCAATTATTGCAAACACTTAGCTTGCTGTATAAAGTCAGCTCGTTACATGTTCATCGCTCGAGTCCAATATTTCTCAAACCTCTTAATCGCCTCGTTGCGGGAACGTCACGGGATCCCGTAAAAATACGCAACCGCGTTACGAACTCCAATGCGCCGGTTGCGCTACGCGTAGTCCATTTTCCTACCCACAACGCATCAGCCTCCAGATAGTCCAAACCAGTCCACAACCGTGCCAAAGTGAACACTGCCCGTTTTCAATGCCTGCAGCTGGCCAAACGTGATGCCGACGACTTCATCACGTACGTAGGCGTTGTGAAGCACGAATGCGAGTGTTTTTAACTTGGTTCGCTCCCATAGGATAAATCCAAGTGCTTAATCTTCGCCTCTCGTCCCCAGTCTGCACACGATGCCGAAATCCGGACGCGCCTCCTATCCAGGCTACAACAGGATAACACTGCGACACTCCAGAACCTGGTCGAGGAATGTCAAACGTTACTGAGCAGGAAGCACGACTCTGCCATGATCCAGGACACCGCCGCCCCTGGTATGGTCCAGGAAGTCACAGAACCTAGGGTGCAATCGTCCATGCGCCCCACACAAATCGACCGAGCGAAGAGCCCAATCTATCGGTGTCGATTTGGGGGTACCTGGCATTTCCACCGGGACTGCAATTTCTGCCAGCACCGCTGTCAGCGTTGTGGCAATGTGGGGCACCGAATTGTGACTGCCATACTGCAACTCCGAAAGCAGCTAAAACTGCGCTGGCCCCCCACCGGGATTCAAAGAAGTCTCGACCCAGACGCAAACCCAAACCTAGGCCGGTTGGTAGCTCCCTGAGCCTGCTGGCCACATTCCAAGACAACACTGCTGATCGCAGAAAATTCCTCGACATCCTGGTCAACGGTCAGTCCATCAGATTGCAGTTGGACACCGTGTTCAACATCACGATCATCGCCGAGGACCTTTGGCGATCCCTTGGAAAGCCCCTCTTCCAACTGATGGCCGCCTAATCGATCACCAGCGCTTGTGGTGATTCGTGCAGCTAACTGGGCAGTTGCATTGCTCCGTCCACTTCCGAAGCGCCACATTCAACGAGATCTGCAACAACACGAATGCGAAACTCAACCCACTTGGTCTCGACTGCCTCGAAACCCCTGGCTTGGTTGATCTTCCTTTTCGGGCCAGCTGTCACGCGGTACCTTCATCGGCGGTACCAAGCAGAAAAACCGCCGAAATCATCCGACATTTCGCCTCAGTGTTCCAGATGGTCTTAGCTGCTGTACACGCAGGCGCGCCGCGTTACAGCTCGTACCTGAGGCTCAACGGGTATTCTGTCTCAAAAGGCCTGTCCCATATGCAGCCGTACTCTTGGTCCACGCCGAACTCCAACGCTTGAAAGACATGGACGTTCTGGTGCTTGTGTCCTATTCCGCCCGCGCAGCGCCGATCGTCGTGGTCAAGAAGCCGAATGGATCCCTCCGCATCTGTGCCGATTTCTCCACCGGTCTCAAGGCAACACTAGAGCCGAATTGCCACCCGCTGCCGATCCCAGCCGACCACTTCACAATACTAAATGGTGGCACGTGTTTCGCCCAAATCGACGTGGCATGCGCCTACCTGCAGACCGAAGTCGTCTCTGAGTCACAAGCATTTTGACGATCAACACACATCGTGGTCATCTTCAGTACACCGGACTTCCGTTTGGTGTCAAAACCGCTCCAGTCCACTTCCAACAGACGATGAACACCATGATCTCTGGCATTCCAGGTACGGCAGCGTACTTGGACGATCTACTCATTCTTAGTCGCACCCCAGAAGAGCTTCGAGAGCGCTTGGTTATGGTCCTTCAGCGTATCCAGGAGTTTGGATTAAGCTTGAAAGCAGAGAAATGTCAATACCTTCTTCTATTTTTCGTTTTCTATGCCAATAGCTGTCATTCTGATCCTGGGAACGTCAGAGTCATCCAGCAGATGCCAGCCCCAGAGGATGTGTCAAAACTGCGGTCCTTCTTGGGTCTCATCAGCTACTACAGTGCCTTCCTGCCATCGTTATACGCTGTTCGAACGCCGCTCAATCAGTTGTTACAGAAGGAGGTACCTTGGCACTGGTCCCCCGCATGCGAGAAGACCTTCGTTCGTCTGAATTCCATACTGAGTTCTGACCTACTTTTGACCCATTACTACCCAAGCTTGCCGATTTGCTCGCTGCTGATGTGGCTGCCTACGGGATCGGAACAGTTCTGTCCCATCGCTCTCCAAATGGTTCCAAAAATCGGTTATGCACATCTCACGCACGCTGAGGCCAGCGGAGAACTATAATCAGATTGAGAAGGAAGCCCTGGCCATCGTGTTTGACGTCACCAAGTTCACAAGATGCTGTACGGCCGGCGATTTAGGTTGTTGACCAGTCACTAGCCATTACTTACAATTTCCGATTCAAAGAAGGGCATTCCCACATACTCAGCTAGCCGAGTGCAGCGTTGGTCTGTCAAGCTGCTTGGTTACGACTTCGAACTTCGCTAATGCCACACCCAAGATTTCGGTCAGGCCCACGGACTATCCTGCCTCACTTCCAAACATGCTACAGAAGAAGACACTGTGATCGCCGCTGTTACCGTAGAGAAGGACGTGCGCCATCAACTCTCGAACACTATCCGAAGTCTTCCCATTACTGCCTTCGATATACGTTGTGCAACTGCACAAGACCCTATATTGCAGAAGCTGTCACTTAAGTTCGGACACACTGGCCAAGCACTGGCTTATCTGGAGAATTCAAACAAATGTATCAGCGCCACGGCACATTTTCCTTGGTCGATTACTGCCTCATGACTGCGGACCGAGTGGTCCTCCCTTCCTGTCTACGGCAAGCCGTACTCCACCAACTGCATTCTGCCCACTTCGATATGAACAGAATGAAGGCAATCGCCCTCAGTTATCTGTACCCGCCTGGCCTTGACAACGACATTGAAGATTCAGTTTGCCGTTGCTGTATATGTCAACAAGCATCTAAGATACCACCACACCAACTAGCAGTACCTTGGCAACCGGCAGAGAAACCATTGTCTCCAGCGCACATCGAGCATGCTGGTCCCATCGATGGTATCTCTTACGTGGTCGTGGTCGACGCTTATTCCAAATGGCCTGAAGGGGTCGCCGTCAATCCACCAAACGCATCCGCCACTCCGGATTGTCTACAAAGAATCTTCAGTCAACA